CGGTGTCACGTTGGTTAGAGGTTTACACAGGGCCTTGCTATGATGCCCAATGACCCCCAGGAAGTACCCCGTTCTAAATTGGGGTGAACTGGGCGCTCATGTAGGCACCAAAAGCTTGCATAGAGCCCCCAAAGGGGCGAAACACGGATACTTAACATGGATGCTTACTCACATGTAGAACATCTAGACATGCTATGTATCCCACATCCAAAAGTAGGTCCCCAATGGCCGGCAGCCAAATTTGGCACGGCCAATGGCTAGGTCCTCCAGTAGAGAGGTTAGAATAAGGGTACCCTTGTTTCTGTAGCCTATTTTAGTAGGGGAACCCTCCCCCAAAAAAGGGTAAAAGGGCACTACCGGAGGATCTAGATGGTCGATGGATCGATTCGATCTCCTCAGTGCTGCTGCCAGTGACCTCCAGCAGCGCACTCGTGTCCAGCCCATCCCGCCGCCCGATGGTGTCCTCGCGGAGAGTTTTTTTTCTGTCTGGTTTGTGTTCAGTGCTTTGATTCGCAAGATTTATCAGAAATCGTATTTCAGAATCCTTCATCGTGAATCTTGAGAAGCGTGACTTTAAAGCCACCGCGAGGTAAATGAGGTTCAAGACTCCCCAGACATTCTTCCCTTCATCTTGAAGCTTGAGTCTCATCCACTTGTAGCAAGCGATTGGCAGCTCTAGCTCAACAAACCTCAGCTTTTCAGTACACGCGTCGTGCACAAAGTACACTCTGACAGCTTCAACATGCCCTTACGCAGCTTCATGTGCATTCTAGTTCGACTCTACCAAATAAACAAATATGCTTTATGCTTGACAAGCAAAACACCTCATGTTCATAGGAAATTGGATGGCATGACACCAATCTCAACCAGTGGAACCCATCTAGTTCTATCCGAACTAGCCGATCAAAAGGCCAGCTATGCTCATCTTGCTGGTGCCCAGTGGGGAATGAGGGAATGAACCCCACAAACCATCCGAGTAGTGGCTTCCTTCAAGAAAGCCCCCGAGCCTGGGTTCCTTCAACCACGACTCCCCACCGATTTCGCAGCTGTCGGATCCCCCGACTTGCCTCATCATCGTATGGAGCCACGCCGGGCCAAGAGCCTTTCGGGAGCGAGCCCAGGAACCGCAGCCGGGTGCGCGAGTGCATTGGAACATCCCGGGAACCCCCTTTTTTTTCGGGTCTTCTCTGCTTTGCACTTGTTTGGCATTGGCTTGGTACTGCTCGGCACTGGTTGGTTTAGGATTGGCCTAGAACTGGCTCAATATTGGTTGAGCGTTACTTGCTACTGCTTGGTGCTACTTGTCGTATTGGTTTAGTGCTGGATTGCTATTTGCTCAGTGTTGGTTGAATATTGGTTTTGCATCCTTTTGGTACTGGTTGTTTAGATCTTGACCTTTCGAGGTCTTTCCGTGTCAATCTCGTTTTTTGCTGGCGTAGGTGTGGGGGTATGCATTATTGTTCATGTCTCAACATATCTATCTTCGGTTCAGTGCAACTCACCTCCGCATGATGGACTGTACACGAAAGGAAAGCACCATAAACCAAGCTGCTGGAATCCTGTTGGAGACAAGTGACGACTTGCGTCGGACACATTCGAAGACTTCAAGAATTTGGACCGTCAACCGTGTTCTCTCTGGTTCCGCTTGACCTCTGCAGCTGTTTGGCTGCATTCGAATGAGAGAAGCAATGATATGGGAACACTGATCGCTCGCTGGTGCCGGGGAAGATTGATCGAATAAGTACAAATTGGGCGTTGAACATTGATTTGGTCTCACCAAAATACAAAATGAAGGAACTTGATCTCTCCTTGGTCTAGTGCAACATGTTGAAAGGACACCGTGTAAGGTCGACTCTCCAACCAGGGTCAAACCACCGTCACCTCAGTTTCTGCAAGCGGCTTGAGAGCCCCAAATTGCTGAAAGCCATCCTACTGGAGCTTTGAGGAAAATCCGATCTCCGCAACAAAGGTTCCACAATGTACACACAGAAGCCCAAGCTTCACAGTCACAACACCAACCATGTGTGAAGAAACATTATGAAGTGGCCGGTGTCAATAGAAACCAGGACCTGAATGTTCCATCTTGATGAATCATGTCGTCTACTAGCAAGCCACCTGCCCGGCATCATGCCCCGTCGCCCAGCCTCGTCGCTTGGAATTCGCCGCTTCTTGCGTCTCCAAAGATGGGAATGGCGCGATGAATGTGGGATCCTTGGCTGCTGGCGATATATAAAACACATGTATACACATTGATGGTGCCCAACAAGAAGAAGCTACCCTCCAAGGGCTTTTGCTGATATTTAATTTGCCTTTCAGTCATTCCCACACCTGCCCGAATTTGAGCATTTTTTTTATGTCCATGCATTGCACAAAATGCTTTGAGGCGTTGTCAGGCAATTTTGGAGGCGAGATTCAATACTCTCATGACTCTCTTGTTGAATTTTGAATCGAATTGGTGGTTCAGACAAAATGCTTTAAAAGCGCTTAGAAGCTTTTCTGGATTCAAGATCAGACTAAAGAGCGTCCTGTACAAGGCTTCAATTCAAGGTGCAAAGCTAGAGTCCTGAGAAACCGTGACAAGGCTGCATCGATCTGCGATTCATTGTGGCTCAAACAATAAGGTTTCACGATGCGTGTATTGCTGATGCCCGTCAACATTTGTGAACCGGAGCCAGTCACGGTCCATCCAATCCCGCAAAGGTTCTCTGGAGGCCGCCACTGTTGGCATCTCATGATGACTCTATCGGACACGGCAAAAGTTCAGAGTCCGGGTCGCTCCTGGCCCCTGGCAGGAAACCAAAGCACAGTTTCTGCCAGTTTTCCTTGTGGGTTCCCTCCGGCCAAGAGTCGCTCGGCTGGTCCACAGGCACCTCTTCCCGTGCAGCCGCAGGCGGACAGGAGAAGATGATGGAATCCTGAAGCAAGCCAAAGATTGCTGGGAACCTGGAGGTACCCGGATCAACACCCAATTCGATTTGAGATTCACGTTGGACAGGGCCAGGAACCCAAAGACTGGCATAAGTGGCCATGTTCAGCTGGTAATTCACTTGAGTCACAATCAAAACCCGGTGTAAAAATGGTCGACCCACCATGTAAAGAATTAAGAAGGCAGCCGCAGCTGATCGTGGTTGGGATTGTCCCTTCCTAACCTTCGTCTACCCGAATCGGTTTTGAGCACGTGGCTCACTTGAATTTGGTGGCCGCAGGCGGCTCGCTGTGCTGATCTTTGCCCGGCTTGAGAAAGTTGTGTGCAGATGTTGCAACGGGTCCTCCGAAAATGGATCTTCCGACAAGTCGCCCACGTTCACCACGTTTCGCCTCAGCCAAGCCAGCCAGCGAATGCAGCGTGGAAGGGGGTGCCAGTCCAGTGGAGCAATAAGCGACTCGTGGTGAGCACATTCGGGTGTGCGTTTGAGGGTATGCTTGCTTGGGTGTTTTTTAATTAATGGCAAACAACAGGAAAATCACATTTTTTTCGGTGGCTCCCCCAAAAAAGGAGACACTCACTTGAACCTCGCAGCTGTTCCAAGCCACATTCGGGGCCTGGTTGGCCAAGTGCCTCCGATCAAAGCCAAGCGGCGCAAAGGTGGGGCTGAACTGACCGTGGTCGGCTTTCGGCGCCTCCACAAGTTTCCCTTTGGCTCCCGAAGGCATGGATTCCATACGGGGGGTTGATATGGGTTTGGCTCACCTTAACCCCCCAAAATGGCCGGGTTACTTTGGCTTACGACCACACCCACTAAACGGGGACCGGCCAAAAGAAAAAAAACAAAAATAAGAACACATTGGCCGCTGTCCACGGCACATGCCACGGAGTCCAGCCACTGGTCTTCAGTGTGTTGGTACCCCCGGCGAGATTTCGTGGCCCTAAGCACCTTTATCTATGAGTCTGCGGGTCTGTCCACCTTGTCGGCATCCTGTTCCAAGGATCTTCATCTGCCGCTGATTTCTATCCACCCTCCATCTAGTTGTCTCAAAATGGGCGACCCGCCAACAAACAGTCGGCTTTCTTGTGGCTTCCCAGGCAGCCAAAGGGGGGCGCCCGCAAACCGACGCTCTGCCTCCGACTGGCCAC